AATATAAGAACACACACATATATAGTATTCTTTCATTCCTAAGGCACTTCTAAGTTTGAAATAATTTTAGAATTACAGAAGAATTGCAAAATAGCATAGCGAATTCTGTATAACCTTTGTCAAGGGTCCCCAGTTTAGCATCTTACATGGCCATGGCACAGTGATCAGAACAAAGAAATTTATGTTAGCATAATAATATCGACTGAACTGTATGACTTATTAATATCATACCAATTTATTTTTACTAATGTCTCTTTTTTCTGTTTTAGGAGCTAATCTAGGGTCCCACGTATCATGTAGTTGTCATGTCTCCTTAATGTCCTCCAGTCTGTGACAGTGTCCAAACTTGCCTTTATGATTTTGACACTTTTGAAGACTTCTGTTTAGATAATTCTGCAGAATGTTTTGCAGTTTGATGTTACACATTTTGGGTATGAATATAACCCAGGTGATGTGCCAATTAAAGTACATAATACCAGGGAACATGATATTAATATGTCATTGCTGATGATGCTAACCTTGATCACTGGGTCCAAGTTTTTCTTGCAAGGTTTCTCCATTATAAATGTTATCTTTTAAATTAATATATATTTTGAGGGAGGTACTTTGAAGCTCGGCAAATAGCTTTTCCTTCCAAAATATTTATCCACTATCGTATTGATCTAGGACTCTTACCTGAAACAATTGCTTACTGTGGTGTTTTAATGGTGATTTACATTTTCCTCATTATTTTACATTTTTTAGTTGTAAATTTTTGTGAGAACGAGTTCTTTCTTCTCTCCTTTTTATTTAATTATTGAATCATTTGTTTATATCAGTATGAACCCATAGATATTTATTTTATAGTACTTCAGGGTTTAAAGGGATTTCACATATATGTGTCTTAGTAGAATTACAGAGAAGGAAAACCAGGAACATATAAAGTAAGGACTACCATGAACTAGGAGTACTGGTGTGGCACTACAGGATAACCATTGAACTGCCAACTCCAAGGTCAGCAGTTCGAGCCCACCAACCACTTCTCAGAAATCCTATACAAGGTCTGAACTGACTGGACAGTATTCAACCACAGCAATCATGAACTTTTCTTCTATTCTAAACTTTGCAATAATCATTGCTGTTGTTAAGTACTGTTGAATCAAGTCCGACTCATAGTGATGCTGGATATGATTTCTGAGGAACAGCTGGTTGGTTTGAACTGCTGATTTTGTAGTTAGCAGTCCAGTGCTTATCCTACAGAACCATATCCAGGCAATAATGAAAAGTTAGTGGTTTATCCACAACCATTAGCTTTTAAATAACCTATGCATTACACTAACTGTTAGCTTCTCAATGATGGTTGGGAAAGGTCAAATGGATAAAACATGAATAAATACAATTTATTCATTGTTTTTAAAATCTTGTCTTATAAAGGTTTATTGGTGAAAATTGAAACTCATTTAAATTTGAGAATGTGGAGTTATGAATTTTGTGTGTGTTATTCTCTTTGATCATAGCTAGGTTATAAGGAATTGATTGAAAAAGAAATTACTTTCTTCTATCATAAAAACCCACAACAATGACTTTACATACTAACCTCTCTTACAAACCACTGGCAAAATGCAGGAGAAATCCACTCCCTGGCATGGAAACCACAGTCCATGAAAATGGCAGGCTTGTTTGTTCCGGCTTTGCCAATCTATTGCAAACAAAAGAAAAAGGAAAATCATGCATCAAGTGGCATTCAGGAGTTAACATTCACTTCTCATTTGGGTTTGGGATGCAACAGGTGAAACCTGACAGTTGCAAGAGATGTATCCCATGAGTCAATTAAAACATTAATACTAGCTCAGTATGTTCTTGCCTCTAGACACTCACAATGTTTGAGCTTACATGGCTGTTTATTATTTTTATTAAGCTTGACAAGTTCATATTTTCAGAAGAAGCTTGATTACTCTCCTTAATTGTACTCACGTGGAGGTTATTTTCAGCTGCTATTATTATGACCAAGAAGACTGGATGAGTAATTAGAAATAATCATGATTGTTGCTAATCGCCTAAGAATTTTTCTTCTCTTCTACTTATTCTTAGTCTTTTTATTTTCTTCATTAGACTTACATGACAAAAATGGCATTTGAGGACGACAGAAACCAATTGTTGATATGCTTTGTAATGACAGATAAACATGAAGCTTATGAACCTTTTTAGCAAACGAAATTACAATCAACAGCTTGGAGAGAATGATTTCATCAATGTAGACGATCATTTACGTTGCTTCCGGAATGTAGTTAAATGGATAGGACTTCTTATTTTATTGCATTGTTTCTTTTGAATATATCAAAATAATGTTGTAAAAATCTACATTTGTTGTTGTTGTTAGGTGCCATAGATGGTAGTGATCCTATTCACAACAGAACAAAACAATGCCTGGTCCTGGGCCAACCTCACAATCATTGTACACCTGAGCCCATTGCTGCTCTGACTGTGCCAACCCATCTTACTGGGAGTCTTCCTCTTTTTCTCTAATCCTCCACTTTACCAAACAGTGAACCAGTGACTGGTCCCTCCTGACAATATGATAGACGATATAACAAAATCCACATATGATTAAAGAAAAAGCCAGGGAATCTACTTGATTCCTAGGGGAGAGGGGATCTAACAATGTTTGGGATAAGCTTATCTGTGAAACAGATGTTAATGTGTTAGAATTCACTGATTTAAAGCCTCAGGCATGGCAAGATCATGGGTAAAAGCGATTACCTTGAGGAGGTACATACTGCGTCCTTCAAATGTGGTTCCGATAACACTGCGAGAGATGAGGTCTGGATTATCAGCAGCAATTTGTTGGGTCCAAGCCTCTATCTACCGAATTAAAACATTTATGGGTTAATGTGATATTCTTGGTTCAGTTTTTAAGAAAACTCAAAAAAACCTGCTGCCATTGAGTTGACACCAACTCATAGCAACCCTGTAGGGTACAGTAGAACAGCCACCATAGGGTTTCCAAGGTTATAAATCTTTAAAGAAGCGGATCGTCACATCTATCTCCCAAGGAGCAGCTGGTGGGTTTAAATTGCTATACCTTTTGGTTAGTAACCTAGAACTTTAACCACTGTTTCAACAGTTCTCCTCATCAATTCTCAAAGCAATGTTTAAACCACGTGTCCATCATACCGTTTCCCAGTTGTTGTACTTCTCATAATTGTGTCCAGATGCTCGGACCTGGCTATCAAATTGAGCCTCCAACACAGATCTCAGGTTGTTGATCAACACCCTGCAATGAACCAAAGTAAGTGCTTCTGTGAACATAGCATATTCTTTCCCAGTGAACACACATAAAACTCCAAAGAAAGAAATGGATTTATATACAGAACAGTGTACTCTCCATGGAATCACAAGTTGCCACCTGATTGTTCTTGATGCCATTCAACCTGAGCTGCTCAAGGGTAATTCTGCCATGTATCAGAAGGAGTAAATCTATTGAGGAGACTGGAGAGCGTGAGCATGTGAGCTCGTCCTCAGCCCAAACTTCACATATTTGGATCTCCTTGAACATTAATCTTGAGGAGATCTTCATGTGGTACCTGCTCTAATCTGGATGAGGGCCCTGGGTTGCCACACAAAACTGTACAATTAAGGATGATCTAAGGTTTCTCGAGTCTTTCCTGGAATCTACTCAGTACTAGGCAAATTGGGACAGTTAACCACCTGAAGACTTTCTGCAGATTTTCAGGAAAATACCTTGGCAGATGAAAATTCAGAAATATTAGCAAGCTAAAGATTTAGTAGGCATGAGTATATTGGGTTTAGGGAATAATTTAGGCTTGGTTTATTTTTGGATGGCTTAAAATCATTGACAATTGGTTCTGTAGCAAGAGAAATTGAAAATTGGTGACAGAACTTGACCTGATTATTTTTATAAATGAATTATTTCTATTATAAGAGACAGACCTAAAAGTACAGGTGTATGTGGTTTCATTTCTGTCTCCTACTTTGAGTGGAAAGTCTGTCCTGAACGGATGGGATTTTATAAGCATTAATGTCCTTGATCATAGTATTGTGACTAATACAGAGGCCAGCTTGCAGAAACTTCTATTATACACAGTCAAGCCTTGGCATGGTTTTATCTGACACACAGAGAATTGCAGCCGCACATCAAAAGTCAGCTTCCCTTCTGGCTGCCCCAAGGGCATTCTGGTGAAGTATGTCAGGGACATCCTCTGAACCTCCCTCACAGTTTCTCCTTCAAACTGTGAACTTGGGCATGGACTTGTGTTCACTTATGGAAAATGCAATAAATTAATACCAAATGGTATTTGAGTCCTAATAAAAGGCAAGTACTAAATTGACTTAATGTAGTGTTTTTAAAAAAAGAAAAAAGAGCAGATTTTAAAATTTATTTTGTGAAAATCAGACAGTGTTTCCGTTCTGCTGTGCATAAGGTTGCTATGGTTGCTATGAGTTGGTATGACTCGATGGCACCTAACAACAACATGCAGTGGCTGGTATTTTGTCTGGTACTAACAAGAAGCATCCTCTTAGTTCAACCACTGTGGAAAGTGGTGTGGCACTTGTTCAGCAAATTGGAAATAGCAACATCGTATGACCCAGCAATCCCTCTACTTGGTATATTTCTACAAGAAATAAGAGCCAGAGCATGAGTAGGTATATGCACACCTATGTTCATCGCAGCACTATTCACAATAGCGAAAAGATGGAGGCAGTCTAAGTACCCATCAGTGGAAGAGTGGATAAATGAACTTTGGTACATACACACAATGGAATACTGTGCAATGTTGAAAAATAAGGAATCTGTGAAACATCTCATAACATGGATGAGTCTGGAGGATATTATGCTGAGTGGAAGAAGTCCATTGCAGAAGGACAAATATTGTATCAGATCACTATTGTAAAATCTCAAAGAAAGGTTTTCATACTAAAAGAAACATTGATGGTTACCAGAGGTAGGAGTAAAGGTAGAATAATTCACTGGTTAGAGGATAGATACATGTTAACTCAGGTGACAGAAGGGTGATATAAAGAAGAGGGAGGTTGGCAGAAATATGATGAAGAAAGTTGAAGACATAGGGAGTTATGTATGGGCTAAAGGAGCTAGAGATAATTAGTGATACAACCTTGGAACAACAGTGTTCTGTTGTTGGACAGAGAGATATAGGCTGAATGGGTATGGAGGAAGAATGGGATACATATATGTCCATACACATATATGTCTCACAAATATATGAGTTTGAAAGAGGATATTTGTACATGGGTAACCACAGGGAGGAAATGAGATTGCAGTCTTTGAGATTATAAAGAAAGCATATGATTTCTGGAGTGTAAAATGGATGATCTTGTCTGTAAACCTTCACTCAATTCACATTAAAAGAGAAAAAAGCCATTCTCTTAGAGTTATTACTGTGTTAAATATTAAACATTTTCATCAATAACTTGGACTAGAGAACATAAAAAAAATAGTTAAATTTAAGATGACATCCAAGAATAAAAGTATTCTCTAGTAACTCATAAAGGAACATCAGAATGCAGTTGAAATGTCGTGCCATCTTTTGCCTGAAGGCGGGGGATTGACCTCAAATGATCCTTTCCAGTCCTATGATTATTTGATTTTATTAGATTTAGGACAAAGTACCACTTTAGTTATATTACAAAATATTATTACTAAATAATGAGCTTCTATTCTAGAAGATTAAAACAATGCCTCTTAATATAATTGAGACCTCATTACAGCTCCAAAGAGCAGAAGCATGTACACTATTTTATACTTTTATATGCTCCTTTTATAGAGCCATCCAACTTCCTCTTTTTTTCATTTCTTTCTTTTTTTTTTTTACATGCAGGCAAATTAGATAGCTGAGACTCCCAGTGAACCAAGGAACACAATGTCTGAGAAAGGAAGAGAGATGACTCAGATCCTTCTTTCAGATTCCTGAAAATAGAATGCTTAGCCAGCTTCTTAACTATGGTCCATCACTATCCAAGGACACTTTCCTGTGTGACTCTGAAATCTGAATGACAATGATGTCATAGACCGTTAACAACAATCAGTCTCTCTCTGGATGGGCCAGAGCAAGGACAAAGTTCTGCAAAGGACCATCCATCAAAAGGTTAAGCTAATTTGGCTTTAGTACCATAAATTGGAGATTTACATTATCTGACTCTTTGTAGCTAAGTGTGCAACATTGGCATTAAAAGACACTGTTGGGTTTCTTTTTGCACACACTTAAAATTAATACAGTATTTGCTTAAAGCTTTCAAATGGTGCAGGACAAGGTGAAGAGGGATGAAACCACTGAAAAACTATTTTGGTGGAAATTGTGCCTAGCGGGTTCCTGTTATATACATACACAACTGCAGATTCTTGCCGACAGAAAACTGTCTTAATACAAATTAGTTACCATGTGAGGTAATAATGGGACATACAGGGACTGCTTGCAGCCCCAGCAAGGATATTGCTGGTACGCTTCACCAGGATTTCTAGGGACTTATTATTATTTAATATTTAGAAAATTACATGCTATGAATGTGCTAAGGAGTGAACAGAGAAGCAAAAATTAACAAGATCTTAGCCCTCAGGGAATGTCTTATGTTCTAGATGAGACAAGGTTCCCAGACAATTCTCAAACAATTTACCACTGAAAAAAGAAAGTGAAGTTTACACCTGATAAAAGAAGACTGATGCAATTTGAAGTCATTTTACTGTTTTGTAATGTGGGTAGAATTAGGACATTGGTCAGGTAGCTGTTGTTCACTGATGGGCATTGAGCCTTCTTTATTCTTCTTAAACAATGAAAAGGAAAGTGTTCTTTTTTTGAATGTTCCTAACCACTAGGATTTTAGAAGGCTTTTCTAGTGCAATAAGAAGAGCAAAATGTCACAGACATGAATCTTAAGCACATTAAAAAGCTTACTGGGTTATATTTTTATTTAAAAAAGACAGTTCTTAGGGTCACATTTTGACACTTCCCTCAGGCAGAAGCAGAGAGCTAAGTAATGTGGAGTAGAATAATGGGGTTAAACAGCACAGTTTCTGTTGACACTTAAAAAATGCATTATCTCCCTCTTTTTTTATATTAGCAAATCATAGCAGCAGTCTCAACAATAAGAATTTTAAAATTTCATTTCCACAACAGCCATTTGAGGTAGGTATTATATCATTATTTTATGGATAAGGAAACTGAAGTTCAGAAAGTTAGGCAAATTATCCAAGCCACATAGAAAGTTGCAGAGTTGGACTACTAACTGAAAGGTTGACTGTTCGAGCCCACCCAGAGCTGCCTCAGAAGTAGTAAGATCTGATGATCTGTTTCTTAAAGGTCACAGCCTTAAAGTCCTATGAAGCAGTTTTACTCTGTGCACATGTGGTTGCCATTAGTCAGAAATGACTCAACAACAGCTAACAATAATAGCAAGATGTGAAAAACAAGAGAATGCTTCTAATCTTAAAATGTTTGTTGTTAAGTGGCTTAGGGTCAGTTCCAACTCATAGCGAGACTGTATATATAGGGTTTCAGAGGAGTGGATGGTGCATTTGAACCACCGACCTTGTTGTTCAAATCGACCTTATGGTTGAGTGTTTATTCTACGTCACCATACCAGGACTCCTTAAGAAGGGCATATTTTTTGCACTGTATAATGAAGACTGGAGCTTGTCATATGGTATTGCTGGATAAACATTCTAGTATTCAGGACTGGTGTCTGAGACTTTCTGTTTTCTCCACCCTATTCCACCCCTTGGAGGAAGAGTTCTGCTCTGGATCACAATTGAAGATCTCATTTCTCGCTTTCCTTGTGTATAAATGTCTCTGGCTCACCATGCTATTTTCCATCTTCCACCTTAGCGTATAGTTTTGTCTACCTAGAATGTGACTTTTCCCCATTTTCATCTGATGAACTTCCATTCCTTTTTCAGATCTCAGCTGAAGCCTCATTTCCTACACTCAGTTTATTCCATGATCTTTTTACCCTTAATGTCTATTATACATTACTGTAATTTCTTGTTCAAGGTTTGCCTTCCCTTAAAGTAGGTATGGCCACATTTTTCTTGTTCTGTATTTGGCACATGTTGGCATTCAGTATTATTTGTTGGGTCAACAAATGTACAATTGCCTGTACTTATTTTCACCTTCTGAAGCACAAGGGTGATACTGGGGATAGAATACAAGGGTAATCAGCTTGGCCAACTCTACTCTAGTCCTTGTGGGAATAACTTCTTTCCTTGGGCCCATCTTTCTATCTCATTTCCTATCAATAAAGATAGTGGTTAAAAGAACAGAAGAGTCACTCACTCTGACTCTGGTTCTTAAGCTAAAGGAACAAAAAGAGCCTTCATGGATCACAATGGATCCAGCTACTAACCTGAGCAAAAGATCTGGTAATATTTGGAGCTAAAATGGCATCTAACTAAAGATAGTGTCCGTTGGTTTGACCTGTTTTTTGTATATCACTTCTAAAATAGTAGCTGGATCTGGCTGAAAACGTGGGTCTATGGAACTGTAGGATGAGCACTGGACTGATCAACTCAATTGCACTTAACAATAACAACAAAAGTCAAACCCATTTTAGTTAACACAAAATACACATGGCCTAAAGTCTTAATATTTGGAATCTAGAGCCAGCCATTACCTATTGGTATGACAAAGAGCTCTGGTAGCGTAGTGGTTATGAGTTGGGCTGCTAACCTCAAAGTAAGCAGTTCAAAACTACCAGCTGTTCTGTGGGAGAAAGATAAGGTTTTCTGCTCCCATAAAGATTTACAGCCTCGGAAACCTTATACAGGGTTGCTATGAGTCAGAACTGACTCCATGGCACATAATCAATCTAGGTATTTCTATTTCCAACCTTTCGAGAAGAAAGTGCCTTACAGTTGAAGTCCTGGTGTAGTGCTGTGGGTTAATGTGTTTGATGGCAAGGTCTGTTTAAACTGTAAGGTCAGCTGTTCAAATTCACTAACCATTCCAGAAACCCTATGCAGGATCGCTCTGTGTTGGAACCAATTCTATGGGACTTTAACAACAACAAAGGTCAAGTTATGTAATCTCTTAGTCTCATTTTTACCTCCCCAGTATTATTCAGAGGCTCAAATAAGAGGGTACACACCAAACCCAAACCAAATCCACTGCTGTCTAGCTGAATCCATTTTCATAGGGGCCTTATATAGGTTTTCAGGGGCTATAAATATTTCTAAGAGCAGACAACCTTATCTTTCTCTGGAAGAGTGTGGCTGGTGGGTTTAAAATGGCAGTCTTGTGGTTAGCAGTTCAATACTTAACCCACAGAACTACCATGACTTCCTAAGAGTGTGGATAGGAGATCATTTTAATAGTGATAATGCATGAACTTACTCATATTGCAATTCATTCTGCTCCAGAAAGTCCTCCACATTGGCAACATCTTCGGCTTTAACATGAAAGTCAACTGTGCTGTGAGGTTTGATTTGTGTGGCAGAATCTGGTTTCCAGAAGTCAATCTGAGTAAAGAACAAGATATACAACATTCTTATCAATGGAGAAAAGATTGAAGTTGTCAAGGACTTCATTCTTCTTGGATCAACTATCAACACTCTCGGAAGCAGCAGTCAAGAGATCAGACGACGTATTGCATTGGGCAAATCTGCTGCACAGGAACTTTTTAAAGTATTGAAGAGCAGAGATGTCAGCTTGAGGACTAAGGTGTGCCTGACCCAGGCCATGGTGCTTTCAATAGCCTCATATGGATGAGAAAGCTGGACAGTGAATAAGGAAGATCATAGAAGAATTGATGCCTTTGAGTTGTGGTGTTGGAGGAGAATACTGAAAGTGCCATGGACTGCCAAAAGAACCAATAGATCTGTTTTGGGAGAAATGCAGCCAGAATGCTCCTTGGAGGCCAAGACGGCTAAGCTTTGTCTCTCATACTTTGGACATATTGTCCAGAGGAAACAGTCACTGGAGAAGGATGTCATGCTGGGTAAGGTGGAGGGTCAGAGAAAAAGAGGAAGACCCCTAACGAGATGGATTGGCCAGGTGGCATCATTGATGGACTCAAGCGTGGCAGCAGTAGTGAGGTTGGCCCAGGATGGGACATTGTTTCGTTCTGCTGTGCATGGGGTCACTATGAGTCGGTTCTGACTCGATGGCACCTGACAACAACAACATACTATATTGAGCACCTATAATTCAATGGGTAAATTTCCATTTGAAAGCATATTTCTCTACTCTATTAAGTTATTTTCATGATAAAATTGCATATTAGAGCTCCTAAAAATATCTCATTTGGGTAAATAAGCATTGGGAACAAGCAGTTAGATATTGATAAAAATATTTACAGATATTTGATTGTCAACAAACATGATAACCAGAATTATTTCCCACAATATTGGTTACAGTATTCCACAACTACTGTTTTCTAATTATTTTTTCTGGAGTACTTGCTTGTTGTGATGTGACAGCAGTATTTGTGGTAACAGGTGTATTTGCTGAATGAAGGATGATGAATTAAATAGAACTACAAAATTTAATGGAGGTAAACTAAGATTTCCCATTTACTCTTTATGATCATATTTTATGGCTTTCTCTGGAACTCCATAATGTCAAAGTTATAGCATCCCTCATCAGGAAGATACATCAGGAAGAACAAAGGCATCTTTCCACAGTGGGCATGGTGACACCACTATCAAAACAAAGCGCTTTCAGGGATCCAGGAAAATGCTGACATTTCCATTTATTCAGTTCTTTGGCAACTATTACTGAGGACCTACTATGTGCTGGGCATCCTATCTGAGATAAGGAATTCACTAATGATCAAATCAAGCATAGCATTTGACTTCATGTAATTTATAGACTTTAAAGAAAATAATGTACAAAAAGAACAGGTTGACTGAATCAATAATTTAAATATTTTCATTTGAGAAGTTGTGATTTTGAAAATCCTTTCCCCGTGGAATAGGTAATCCTATTACCCAGGGGCATGTTGTCTCTTTTAAGCATGACTTTTCTTTTCTTTTCTTGAGCTGAGTAGAGATCTAGAAGCCTGAGGTGTGAGCCTGTTTTAGGTTCTTCCTCTGCCTCAGAGTCTCACCTAGCCCATCTTCAGATGTTTGTGAGTAGTCTTAGCTGGAGATGTGACAGGAAGTTATTTTTAGAACTGTAGCTTGGGAACTTGGAAGGGAGTTTGAGCAGATTTAAAGATCTGAGGCAGGAACTGATGTGGTAAACTCTTAAAATGACTCAGTTTCAGATACTCTTGTGGAGAATCCGATAAACTATATCTATCTTGTCCTGTCAATATTCAAAACACTGAAGAAGCCCAGTGGGAGCTGAGTCCCAAGTCAGGGACATAGGGGTAATAGGACCATGAGAGGCAAGGACCCATCAAGAGAGACCCAGAAGAGTGTGAGTGTGTTTGTCATAACAGTTTTGAAAGGAGGGAACACTGATCGTTGTGTTGAGACTGGATCCAGAATGAGACTTAGTGAGTCAAATCTGAGAGGAGGATAAAGGTGAGCGGTAATTGATGGTGTAGGAAACAGAGTCATGTCAGAATAAAGACAGAAAACAAGAGACTGGTGATGAATTCTAGTTAACCAACACTGTGAAGAGAAGGGAGGCAAAGCATATCCTTTAAAGTTAGGATGAATAAGGGCAATACTTGAACAATATGATGAACATAACTAATGTCACTGATCTATACAAGTTAAGATTGTTGAAATGTCAAATGTTTTGTTATACATACATATATGTATCACAATAAAAATGTTTTAAAAAGTTAGCTCTAAATTTGTGTTCCTAATAAACACCTGTCATTTTGAGGTGGGCTACAAGAGGAAAAGGAGCTCTGGTAGCGTAGTGTTTATGAATGGGGTTGCAAACCTCAAGGTCGGCAGTTTGAAACTACCAGCTGCTCTGTGGGAGAAAGATGAGGCTTTCTGCTTCCATGAAGATTTGCAGCCTCGGAAACCCGGTGCAGGGTCACTATGAGAAGGAACCAATTCCACGGTACTTAACAACAACAACAACAGCAACATCAACAAGAGGGAATGGAAGGGAGTCTTAATTATAGACACAGAAACAAAGCACATAAAGTCCTCAAAGCATCCGTTTTAGATACTATTAGTGCACCATCCATATATAAATAACCCTTGGACATTTTAGTGTACCAGGGGACTGTTAAAATCTACTTTTCTGTGCCTGAGGGCTCTTTTCCCCAGAACTGCCAAAAGCTAATTCTGATTCATAGTGACATTAAAGGTCAGAGTAGAACTGCTCTAAAGGGTTTCTAAGGCTGTACATCTTTATGGAAGCAGACTGCCTCATCTTTCTCCTGCAGAGAAATTGGTATGGTTGAACTGCTAACCTTTCAATTAGTACCCCAACACTTAACCCACTGTACACGAGGTGCTGAGGAAATACTTCCAGAGAAGTCTTTCACCAATAGATCTGGAATATTCCAGTTTCCTCAAGTGGGTGAGAAGCATGTGTTTTGAGCCTTTCCTAGAATTTCCTATGTAATTACATTTTAGTTGATTGCCATCCTTTCTCTTCTCATTTCTCTAGGAGTGTTCACTGGGTGTCCCAAATAAAATCCTTGCCTTTGAATTCGTGTCTCAGGTTCTGTTTCTGGGAGAATCCATATTAAAATGCCAACTTTTTACTCAAAGCAAGAAATACCCACGTAATATCCCTGGTGATAACTCTAAGACAATCTTGAGCATGTCTAGGGCCACTTCAGATATCCTAATTGTTTGATGACTTTTTTTCCCTAATATTAAGCTTAAAGTTGTCTTCCCTAATCGATGGCTTATTGCTTCTAGTTCTCCCAAATAGTGGAAGACATCTGCCATGCCACCTTTAAGATTTTGCTGTGTGATACTAGAATGGTTGAAAAGGGGATTCTTGAAAAAGGGATGAAAAAACCCTATGACTATATTGTACAAAGACTTACAGAGATAACCTGAAATTGTTAAAAAATTTTTCAGTTTGACATAGAAAGAAATGGTTAGAAAAATCTGCTAACACCCAATACTACAGAGTACTGCAAATGTGCCACAGATTTATTATATACTAAAGTTACTATATTATGTGTACATATGCCTCATAGCTGTTTACTAATGTGCCAAGTATAGATGTAAATAATAAACTCATAGTGTTAATACAAAAAATGAACATGAACTTTCATCAATCACCAAGATCTTATAAACGGGAGTTAGCTCTGAAATACTGGCAATATATACTGCTATGAAATTATAGAAACCTTTATATCAAAATGTGAGGCTGTTTCTTGACATATCCTCCTTCTAGGTTTGTACATTTCTGAAGGTGGTGTTTCTGTCTCTCTAACGCTTCCCTGAAGAATTCTGTGCCCTTCCTTTTATACCATGTCAAAGTTGCAGTTTTGGCATCTTTGGTAGACTTGAATCATGCTCCTTTTCAATGTTTTGAAGTTTTTGAGAACAAAAAGAAGTCTGAAAGGGTAAGATCAGGCCTGTAAGGTAGGTGCAGTAAGGTTTTCTAGTGAAATTCTTATAGGACAGCCCTTGATACCCTTGAAGAATGAGCAGGTACATTTTTGTGATGAAAAAATAATGCCTCAGCACAACATTCCTGGCCTGCTTCTCATCAATGCTTTTTTCAGTTTTCTTAAAACTGCCTCATACTAAGCCCCCATGATTTTTCCTTTGTCCTTCAAGAAAATCTAACAAGATTGTTCCTTTCGGGTCCCCTCAAACAGTCCCCATAACCTTCTGAGCTAACCACTATGCCTTGAATTTAAATGGCCCAGCAAACACCATCAGAAGAAACTGTTTCGCTTGGGCGTTGTTTTGAAATCACCATGATTGACACTAAGACAAATGCGTTACTGAGAGAACTGATTGCCAAGACATGTTTAAATATATTTTGTTTGGAATAAACCTGTGCATATATGAACTTGAACCCTAGTAGCAATAATTTTTTTACTTACCTCTGTAAAGTATATGATACAAGATGTGGGAAATTTGATTCTATGTCAAGAAGTCATAAAACTGAATATGAATCCAGTAAGCAAAGTGGTGAAGAAATAGAATATTGGTTGGAACATAAGGGATATATTTAAGTAAGTAATAGCATTATGAGTGGTATCTATAGATGGCTGATAATTAGAGTGCTTCCTAAAATACATTTTGGAATTAGCACAAAAGTAAGATTATATAGTTTATCTACACAGAACACTGTTGGTTCAAGGTTGTCTAAATATCACTATTTACCTCTATCTCCTTTAGCCTTTGCATACTCCCCTGTGTCTTCACCTATATTTATCATTTTTCTGCCACCCTCTCTCTTCCTGTATATTGCCCTCCCGTCACCTGAGTTAGCATTTGTTTACCCTCTTGCAAATGAATGACTCTACCTTCCCTCCCATTCTTGGTAACCATCAAAGAATGCCTCTTTCAGTATGGAATATAAAAGAACATTGGTGTTAGGATAGTTGCTTCTTCAGAGATTTGCTTGATGTTGCATGTGACCATTAACTGAACATTTGATAGATTCTTAATTTATCTTGATGAAATTTTTGATGCAATGACTACTCTAGGTCTTATTTGGAATAACAGGGAAGAGATTGCTGGTATAGTAAAAGTGGCAGAAACATCAGAAGACTGTAACCATTTTATTCTTGGCATAGATAGATGTATATGTTAAACTCATGAACTATATATAGGGTCCAAGAAAATCCAGAGAAAACAGATTATGTTCTATGGTGAATGGCTCTAAAACAGGAATGCGTACAACTCTGCAAGGAAATAAAAGAAAATCCTTACTATGCAATTACAGATGACCCAGATGGCAAGGGGAAGGGCTATTAGGTCCAATGTGGTCACAGAGCTCTCCAATATGTTCAGCTTTTAAAAGGACATGTTCAAAAGCTGGGAGGAAGGACACAGAGCCAAGGATGAATACAAAGACTGGATGCCCTTGTAATGATCTTATCAGGAAGGCTACATCCCAGAATATGCTGCACTTGCAGGATTGCTATGGTGAAGAAAAATCTCTTTTTTAATCATGTTGAAAGTAAAAAGGGTAAAGGAGGAAAATACAGTCTAATTGCTTGGCACTAAAACATGATATTTGCAGCTGGAAGACAGAAAACTGTTGTTAAGTGCTGTCGAGTTGGTTCTGGCCCATAGTGACCCTGTATAGGGTTTCCAAGGAGCAGCTGGTGAGCTTGAACCACTGACCTTGCAGTTCAAATGGCTTTGCTGTCTGGTGCATTAAACCACAGTGCCAACTAGGACTTCTGTTTTTTCAAAGATATACATTATTTCTTGGTTCTGTTATTTCTACTGAGAGGTAAAATTCATTTCCACTTGGATAAGTAAATACTTTTTCAAATGCTGTGAAATATTGTCTTTGGAAAGAAGGCACTGAAACCCATGGTAGATGAAGAGAAAGGTGTTTATATTCAGCCATGTAAATTGATTTCTAAATCCCAGACTTAATAATAGCAAACACTTATAACTCTCACTATATAAGTACTTCCTGTTTTCCATTTATTATTATTATTTTACAGTCCTTTAAGTAAGTAGTAGTATCACCCTCATTTTAAAAATGAGATTAAGGCACAAAGAGGTAATGGAAAGTGTCCAAAATTCTGTGAGTGGTGGGGCCAGGATTTGAACTCATACACTCTGAGTTCAGATTCTGTACTCTTGACCACCATAAAATGTATAATTTAATATAACTAAAAGATACTGAAGATGCAATCACAGAACTTTCTCAGCAGTCTTGAAGGAGTCAGAGTTTGAAAGGACCTTTGAGAACTGGAGGGGCAAGTTTCAATTTCATAAGCAGGAAAACAGGTGAATCTCAGAATTAGGAACTCCTGGGGCCTGGCATGGATTCTGGCAAAGCTGCAGAGTAAACTGGAAGCAGATGGATTGCAAATGTTCAGAAAAGGGAGCTGTGATCCCTGGGGCCAGCCTGGTTTAAAGCAAGAATAAGTCAGGCCCAATTAACTTCATCTTACTATTGGAAGAGACCAGTAGTCTAGAAGAATGCTGAATCTTGATCTCAGCAAGGTATTTAACTGTCTCAGTATAAATATTCTTCTTTACAATAGGAAAGCAGCATAAAGTTAGCTGTAGGTAATTCCCCACTAATTATAGTTTATCAGACTTATCCAACCAATGTTGATTAATGAATCATATTCAGTGCTTAACTCTTGTGTCTGGCACATTGGAGACATATGATAAATACATATTGAATGAGTGAACCATGAAGGAAGCCTCTAATTCTGTGGTGACCCCCCTGACCTACTTAATATTCTTCTTTATCAATAACAAAGATTAACGTCAAGAAGGTCTGGTTATCAAACTTGCTGGTGAATCAAACTTTGTTGTTGTTGTTAAGTGCCGTCGAGTCGGTTCCGACCCATAGCGACCCTGTACAGGGTTTCCGAGGGTGTAAATCCTTACGGGAGTAGAAAGCCTCATCTTTCTCCCGCGGAGTGGCTGGTAGTTTCGAACCGCTGACCTTAAGGTTCGCAGCTCGATTCGTAACCACTACGCGGGGAAGAATTATTTCCTTGGATGACTGAATTAATTTTTAATAATTATAAAATTATGAAATTATAAAAACTTATAAAAAAATAATTTTAAAAAAAGCTGAAAGCTGGCTATCAAGATAAGAAAATCCTGCATTTTGGTTTAAAAAAATAAAATACCCCCAAACCAATAATTAGGCAAGTACAGAAGAGGGATACCTTGTCTGAGGGTGATTCATGTGAAGAAAAAGTATCTTAATAGTTTTGATTGGCCACAGGTTTAATATAAGCCAACAGTTCTCAAGATGCTTCAAAGCTCTTTAGGCTCCATTAATAAATGTCTGCTTTACAAATGAAGGCAGGCAATGGTCTTGTAATATATACTAATCAGAGCACACCTGGAAGCCCATTGTCACTCTTGAAAGCTACATTTTAAAATAGAAATAGAGACAGAAAACTGAGCTGTATCCAGAAGTGACCAGGATGATGGTGGTGGTGGTTATGTGCCGTGGAGTCGGTTCTGACTCATAACGACCATGTACAGGGTTTCCGAGAGTGTAAATCTTTATGGCAGTAGAAAGCCTCATCTTTCTCCTGTGGAACAGCTGGTAGTTTCAAACTACTGTCGCTGAGGTTAGCAGCCTGATTCATAACCACTACGCTACCAGAGACCAAGATGATAAGAGTCTGTAAACCAGGGCTAAGAGAAATGATGGCAGGCCTGGAGAAGCTAACTAGAGATAACATAATATTGGCTTAGCCGTGTCCAATGGGACAAAGTTAGAAAAAGCAGCTTTCATGTCAGTATTAGGAAGAAAACAATTAGAATTATTCCTAATGTAAATAGGCTATTTAGAAAAGTAGTTTACCTACTATTTCTGAAAGGACTCAAACAGGTTTTAATAGGGTTGGCAACCAAAGATGCTATTACTAGGGAGGTAGTTGTGGTGCTGTAGGATAAAGCACAGCTACAAGGTTGGCAGTACAAACTTGCCAGCTGCTCCTCGGAAACCCTATACAGGATTGCTGTGAGTCGGTACCGACTTGACAGCACATAACAATAATTTCAAATTTGACTGGCTGGTGGTTGTGTGCTGTGGAGTCGGTTCCGACTCATAGCGACCCTGTACAGGGTTTCTGAGGCTGTAAATCTTTACGGGAGCAGAAGGCCTCATTTTTCTCCCGCGGAACAGCTGGTAGTTTCGAACTACTGACCTTGAGGTTCGCAGCCCGATTCGTAACCACCACACTACCAGAGCTCCTCTCAAATTTGACTAGAAGGCTGGAATAGATGACTTTATATTCTCTTTCAATTTTTAAACGTCAGAGTCTGTAATTATGACACCTTTCTCTTTTCTTCCTCTACACCTTGAATCTGAAGAAATTACTTTTTATGTATTTATATATAGATTTAGGGGGGAAAAATTTAAGAGCTTGTAGATTATTTTAGTTTATACAGTACACATGAAGAAACAGCATTGGTCCAAATAGAACTATTTGTGGTCAGCACTAGTTTTCTTCTACACTACATCCGTAATGAAAAAAAAAATGCCAGTTCGCATCCCACATACAGTGGGTGTTTGCTTTTTAAAGAAGCACAGGTATTTTTGGTTTCTTGTAAGCAAAAGAAAAGTATGGAAAGCCTTCATAGCTATTCACCTCTCCCGTCTTCTCCATCATACCACATCATTCAGGGTGCCTGAATCAAGGTCATGAAACCCAAGCTGTTTGATTCTGAATGAAAGAAAACCAAAGAGAACAGATGACACATGGGAGGTGGAAATGAAGTGTCAGTTGGACAAAAGCCCAGTTTTCCAGCAAAATCCAAGTTGATCATTTTTCTCTTTTGCCTTAGAATGGAAGTGATTGCACATTCCATGTTCTGTGACCTTCACGACAGTTCCAGCTCCTCTGGTTATCATAACCTGTCAACTCTTTTAAAAGTTATCATGAATTTAAAATAGTACTGGGTTTATGGCAATCTAATTTAGGCAGAAAAATGCAACATTATGGCACTAACTTTTTAAAAATTTTAATTTTCTTACCAAGTGTGTTCATGTTCATTTTTCATGTCAGTGTTCCTTTGGCCGAATCATATTGTCATCTAAGATTTTGATGCATGTGTGAAGACACCTATAATGGTGGTGGTGGTGGTGTACCATGGAGTCAGCTCTGATTCAGAGTGACCCTGTTTCTGAGACTGTAAATCTTTATAGGAGCTGAAAGCCTCATCTTTATTCTGTGGAGCAGCTGGTAGGCTTGAACCACAGACTTTGTAATTTGAAGTCCAGTGCTTATCGTATAGAGCCACCACATGTCCTAATGAACACTTAGTACAGAATTATTAATTACCTGGATTTTGCTGGCCAACTCCTGGATTAAGTTGATGTGATTTTCATCTTCAACGTTGACTCGCAACACCTTCTCACTGAAGGTGAAATAGAGGAGGAAGAATAGACAATTTTTAAAAAGGAATAGGTATTTAAATTTTGGATTTTAAATATGAGAAAGAAAGAGGGTTTGCCATATTTAAGAAATTGCTTTCTTACCCTTCAAAGTGCTCACCAGAATGGTGAGCAGATGCTAGGCTCACAGTTACGAGAACCAGGAGTGCCAACATTGTGACTGTTAGAGTCTTTTGGGTTGCTTTCACCTGCTTTTATAATCCAGGGTGTTCTTTGTTTTCCTCTCCTGATTGCAAATATGCACGGTCAAATCTTGATTAATGGTTTTCCCAGCATTTTTGCCTTGGTAGCTGTGTAAAGTCTGAGAGACTATCTCTCATAACACCTGTGAAAAGCTGAGCAAATAATCTGAAGTTCAAATTACCTAATTTGGAAAACAGACCTTGAGTAGGTTAGAGGTAAATAAGTTTTAAGAAAAACCTATTTTGTAGGCTTCCCCGCCCCCAATCTTAGCATTTGAATTGAAGTTTATTTAAATACAATAAAAATGTAGATTTGAATGTGAAGTTTCATGAGTTTCCATAAATTTGAGGGGACTCCAACGGAAAAATGGAATTAAAAGATAAAAATATAAACTGCTTTTTCAACATAATCTCTATAAGGCCAAAATACTTTTGTAAGCAATGACACCTGCCATTTAGTCCATCCCTAAAGAACTTAAAGTCTGAGGGATTTAACCATGTCAATGAAGTGTTTTTTTTTTTTTTACACTATTAACTGAAGAAAAATGGGTGCCCTTTAAATATTTTTTTAAGATGGGAAAACAAAAAGAAGCCAAAAGAAGCCAAATCAGGACTGTAAGGTGGATACCTAATGATATCCCATAGAAACTTTCACAAAATTGCCCTTGTTTAATAAGAGGAAAGAGGAGGAGACTTGTCACTGTGGAGAAAGCCTCTGGTGAATTTTTCCTGGGTGTTTTCCTGCTAAAAATTAGGATAACTTTCTCAAAACACTTTAATAATTCTTCGACCATCCAGAAAATATGTCTTGAACATCCCCCAACAAGGTTACTATGACTGGTGTGGCATTACAGGAAAAGCACTGGACTGCTAACTGCAAGCTTGTTGGTTGAAATCCACGAGCCACTTCTTGAAAACCCTATAAATGGTCGCTATGTGTCAAAATGACTCAATGATACTTAATAAGAACAATGACTTTTACTCCTAGTAGGTCTGATTTTGCTTTGACTGCACTGTTTTCCTCTTTTGGGGTCTTTTGTTTTGATTGTGTTTTGCCTTCAGGATCATACTGGTAAAGCCATGTTTCTTCTCCTGTTACAGTTTTTCCAAGAAATGATCAGGATTTGATCCCACTTGTTTAAAATTACAGTGGAAAGCTCTGTTCTTGTCTCCAGCTGATCTGGATGCAACAGTTTTGGCAAGTCTGCTCAATTTGGCAATTCTGCTCAAGTCTAATTTTTTAGGCAGAATTGTGTGAACTGAACCATCCAACTGAGGTGTCTGTGGTGTTGGCTGTTGTTTCACTGTTAATCATTGGTCCTCTTCAATTATGGTATGAAAAAGACGAATTGTTTACTCACAAACTATATATATATATATATAGTTTGCTGCTATGGGCTTCTTCAACGTTATCTTGTCTGTTCTTAAAACGAGTTATCAATTTGTAAACTGCTGTTTTCTTTGGCACATTGTCCACATCAACTTTTCATAATACGTCAGTGATTTCACCATTCTTTCACTTGAACTTTACCATAAATCTGATGTTCGTTCTTACTTGAAGTTTAGTAGCATTCATGTTGCTCTAATATGAGCTCTTTTCAAACTGATGTCTAATCTCTCTTAGTATTTCAAACTGGATCCTGTTCAAACAAATATAACACGTTGTTGTTGTTATGTGCCGTAGAGTCAGTTCTGACTCATAGCAACCCTGTATAGGGTTTCTGAAGAGTGGCTGGTGAGTTTGAACCACCGACCTGTGGTTCAAATCAACCTTGCAGTCAAGTACTTATCCTACAGCACTACACCAGTACAAATTTATTTTGGTACAAAATTTTTTGAAATGCATGCATAGTTTTTTTCATAATCTGCATTTTCCATGACATTTTTTGAATACTTCCTCCTACATACACCTATGCAGCAAAAATCCAAATCAAGATGGACAATTTTATCACCCTAAGAAGTTTTTCTAGCATCTTAAATGAGGTATATCTAAATACAAAAAAATTGTATAGATTTAAGTGTAATGAGTTTTGACAAATATATACATCCAGTAACAAATATCCTAATCAAATGTAGGACATTTTTATCACCCAGAAAAAAATTTCTTCCAATGCCTTTTCAATGTATTTCTACATTCTCCTCAGGAACACACTTTATAGAAAAATTAATACGTTAACTTTTCTTGAACTAGAACTTTATGAGGACTTCTGGTGTGGTACTACAGAATAAGCACTTGACTGCAAGATTGGTTTGAACCAAAAGGTTTGGTGGTTCAAACTTACCAGCAGCTCCTGAGAAAATTTATACAGGGTTGTTAGGTTTCAGAACCGACTTGAAGGCTCTTAACAACACAAAATTTTATGTAAATAGATCATACCATATATATTTTTTTGTGTCTGTCTTTTTTCAATATATATATATTTATATTTGAGATTCATAAGTACTTTTGTCTGTATTACCAGTTTATTCCTTTTTATTGACAAGTAGCACTCTAATAGTATGATTATAGCCCAATTTACTTACTACTGTTGATGGGTATTTGGATTGCTTGCAATTTTCTATTATGAATAAAGTTGAAATAAACATTTATATGCAAGTATTATGTGGACATCTATTTTCATTT